GTAGTAGTAGTAGTAGTAATATTATTGTACTAGTAGTACTATTAGTAAAGTATAGTAGTATGTAGTCAAGTATAGTTGTTGTTGTAAAGTATAGTAGTAGTCAAGTAATAGTTGTTGTTGTATACGTATAGTTGCAGTTTGTTGTTATTGTTGTTGTTGTTGTTGTTGTTGTTGTTGTTGTTGTTGTTGTTGTTGATGTTGTAATTGTTGTGGTTGTAGTGGTACCCGTACGTTTGTAGTATGAGTATTATATTGTTCTTATTATATTGTCATTATTATCATTAGCAGAAGCAGCAATGACACAAGTTGCACTGTATTCCTGTTGCATTATGTGATCTCACTTATAACCCTTCTGCAAGCAGCCAAAGCACAAACTGGATCAGACGAATAAAAATTATGGCTTCAGGGACCCGTTTAGGTTCATTGTGTTCAGAATGATATGGGTTACTTTCAGGGTCTAGGGTTCTCGTGTGATCAGCTTTCGGGACTGTAGGGTTGGTTTAGAGTGCCGGGACTTCCATCGTATTACTGGGCTTGCTTCAGGATCAATGCCAGTAGCCGTTGGGATTTGTTTTTTAGTGTGTGGTGTTTCGGCTTAGGGCTGTCAGGGTTCGGTGTTTATTTCGCAGCTCTAGCCGGTACGATGGATCGGGATGCTAGGTGCCCCAACCCTGAGCTGAAATCTAATATAAGTGAGGACTATGTAGTCGCAGTGTAAAAAATTTAATGCAACTAAGCAGGAACCCTGACCCAGGCCAAGCCTCTTCAAACCCCAGGCTGCCCATAGCCTGCTCCAACTCATCCATGATGAGCTGGTCTGCTATGTCCTCTGAACCCGGCATATCTTCGACAAGCCCCTGCTCAGCCTTGTCACAGAACATCTCCCACATGTGCATGATGTGCTCGAAGCTGTGGTCTATGGCCACCAGCGCAGCAACCTCTGCCTTGTCCAGGCTCTGCTGGACCTCGCTCGTCTTGCTTCTCCTCCACTGCTCCGTGGCTGCAGTGCGCCGCAGAAGCTGCTCTTGGGAGCTTTCACCCTTTTGGAAGGCGGAGTTAAGCTTCAGCAACATGTTTTCGGCTTGGCTGTGGATTGTTGCAAGCATGGTCACACTCTTCTGCTGTAGCTGTGCCCATTCTGCAGACTTCAACCAAGCTGCATTGATGCACTCCAACCTGCTTGGCAACCCTGACATGTCCACAAGCAGCTCAGCACGGCAGTCCTCGATCGCAACAACACCAGAGGAGTTGACTGGAAGCGCACTTGCCATCCATTTTACCATTGGCATTGCCTCTTCGATCTGAGCAAGCTCACACCAAAGCACGTCCTGCTTTCTCATGCCGTAGTAGCCTTCGAACACAACTCGTCTTTTGTTTAATATGTTGGGATCCTCATGCTCCACGGGTGCTATAAGCTGGCTGGATGACCCGACGATCGTGGAGAGGGTGTCCGGGCTCCGCAATCGAGGCACTGCTTCAGCACCTTGAAGTAGCATAGTACTAGTAGTAGTATCGTATAGGAGGTATAGTATGATTATAGTTAGTAGTACTACTACTACTACTAGTAGTAGTGGTAGTAGTAGTAGTAGTAGTAGTAGTAGTAGTAGTAGTATAGTAGTAGTAGTACTAGTAGTAGTACTAGTAGATATATAAATATAAATATATATATATATAAATATATATATATATATATATATTAGTAGGTACTACTAGTAGTAGTAGTAGTAGTAGTAGTAGTAGTAGTAGTTGTAGTTGTAGTTGTTGTTGTAGTATTACTAGTACTAGTACTAGTACTAGTACTAGCTATAGTACTACTACGACGTGTAGGAGTAGTCGTCCTAGTAGTAGATAGTATAGAACAATTGCAACAAAATCAAAGAGCCTCCATGGTGCGTATCGGCTGTGTTTCGGCAACAACAGAAACAACAACAACAACAACAATAACAACAACAATAACTAGCTACGACGATGACTAGGGCATTAGCAGTACTAGTCTGTAGTAGTAGTAGTACTAGTAGTAGTAGTAGTAGTAGTAGTAGTAGCAGTAGTCGTAGTAGTAGTAGTAGTAGTAGTAGTAGTAGTAGTAGTAGTAATAGAGTAGTCCTGGTTTTGTAGCAATAGCAGTAAGAGTAGCTGAATGGAGTAGTTCACGAGTGAAGTACAGAGGAGCGGGGAGCGAGGAGTGAGTATAGAGTAGAGCGTATAGAGCATAGAGCGTACTGTGTTATGTAGTGTCGTGTGTAGCATAGAATGTAGTCTAACTTTCAGATGAGACAGCCTGCTGCTTCTCCAGCACGAAGAGACTCCTCAGTCGGCACCTCCAGGAATCTGAAGTTTGAAGAAGACCACACAATCGACACATGCATGATCCTGGAACTCATGTATGAAAATCAAATTAAAGTAAGCTGCATAGCACCTGAGCTTCCTCACCCGCAAAGAGTGTCCTCCTGGCTTTCTTGTACTCCGGGCTTTTGATGGGTGTGGCACCCGGGGTCCTCGCCATCGCCAGCTGATTGCCACCCGAAACAGGAGCTGGGGTCTGAGCTGTGGTCGTGGGCACCTCCTTCGGTGGGCTCGTCGCTTTGGGTCCTGGTGTCATGGGCACATCCTTCGATGGGCTCGGTGCTTTGGGTCCTGGTGTCATGGGCACATCCTTTGATGGGCTCGGCGCTTTGGGTGCTGTTGTCATGGGCACATTCTCTGATGGGCTCGGCGCTTTGGGTGCTGTGGTCATGGGCACATCCCCGGCTGGGTTCGGGCTCATGGAAACATCCTTGCTGGGGCTCTCCTCTTTCTGAGGTTTGGTCTTCATGGGTGTCTGCAGGATCTCCTTTGCCTTAGGCGGTGGGACCTTTGGGACAATGAAACCAGCTTGCCCTGAGGCTGGAGGGCGGCCATCGACCGCCAGACTCGGTGCAACCTTCGGCTGCACAGGCACGGCCTGACCTTTCACAGCTGCAGCCGAGGTCGGTAGCTCACGTTTCACATGCAATATCGGAGTAGCACCTAGGTTTGCAGGGTTGGTAGTGTCAGTCTCAAAATGAATTGAACCTACTGACAACACATATAATGCAGCTAGGAGCCTTTGCTTGCAGTCGGTTTCCCATCCAATGGAGGTGGTGAGGAAACGGTAGGGGTTTTGGCAGCTGGTGCACCAGCCGGCAATGTTGTCTTGCCTTGCAAACGGTGCTTGGTCGGGGGAGCCTTCGGCATGCCGACTGTCCCACCAGTGCCCCCAGAGGAGCCTGCCGGCAGCTGTGACTTGCTTGCATAAATTTACAACAAGAACATCAGGAACAGCATGTCATATTCCAAGCAGCCTGCAGCTGCCCTCATAGCTTTGGCGATCTCCTCCTCCACTCGGCGCTTTGCCTTCTAGCTGGCTGTCTAATACATACCAAACCCAAGATCCTAACCCTCAGTCCTAAACCCGAAACCTAAACCCCTGAACCCGAGACCCTGATGATTGTGAGCTTGTTGTCCGGGAGTGGTAAGGGCTAAGGTTGAGGGTTCAGGGTCTAGGATTAGAGCTTGGGGCCAAAGCTTGGGTTTAAGTCTGGGGGTCATGGTTCAGGGTCTAGGATTAGAGCTTGGGGCCAAAGCTTGGGTTTAAGTCTGGGGGTCATGGTGTGATTGGCCTGGGGCTTGAGTTCAGAACTTTGGGTTTGGGGCTCGGAGTTTTCTGTTTCAGGGTTGCAATCGACGGCTCTGTGGGCCCAGGATAAGGTTTAGGTGGGGGTTTAGGGAATTCGAGTCCTCGGAGCCAGGCTAGCCTCAGATTTCGGATAGAGTGGTAGTGTAAGTTTGAGAGTTAATAGGCTGGGTGGCCCAGCCTGCTCTCTGGCATCGGCACCCGAATTTCCACCGGCAACCATGGCACCGTGGCCCGAGGGCACAACTAACGCCCCCTAACGCTTCCTAACGGCCAGAATTGCCCCAGAAAGCACCTTGAACGCCAAATAACGCTTCCTAACCCTGGTACTTTCTCACACAAAACTCAGCACTAACGGCCCCTAACGCTTCCTAACGGCCAGAATTGCCCCAGATCGCACCTTGAACGCCAAATAACGCTTCCTAACCCTGGTAATTTCTCAGGCAAAACCCACTAACGGCCCCTAACGCTTCCTAACGGCCAGAATTCCCCCAGAGAGCACCTTGAACGCCAAATAACGCTTCCTAACCCTGCCCATGCTGTACGCGGCAATTATTATGGCTGCACATGTACATATACCATAATTAAAGCCCATGAGCAAGTGAGGCCTGGAATTCGACACGGCAGAGCACAGCACACATGGAATTCAAGGACATGAGCTCGTGCATAGCACAAATTAAAGTTCAGCGACGACACCAGTATGCATACTCTAGTTTCTCATCCAACAACTGCATGTGACACCGAGGCTGCGTGTCGGTCAGGAATCAAAACTCCGGGGCATGGCATGGCCACTCGCCGGCAGGAAGCCAGGGCTGCTATCTCTAGGAAGACATACCTTGTAGTATTTGTCTAGAATTCGAAGGACTGTGCTACCTAGCCCCAAACTTTATTATAATAAGTATGTAGACCTGTATAGGCACGGGATACATACACAAAGCACAACATGAGTATCGAAATCCAATAACATAGCTATTGCTGCTATCTAGTGTACCACCTATGCAATACACCCCACACTCTGTTATCTATTTGGGTCCTGTTGAAGTTGGACTCATGATGCTACAGGCTTCCTAGTGCCAGACTACAGCCGTTCAGTGTGAAAGGGATCCTCTGGTCCTTTTCGAACAAGTTGAGCTGGATCGCCTGAGGCAGGATCGAGGGGGGCCGGCTATCCTAGAGGATCGTGGCCACACAGTGGACATCGTAACGCAATCCCTGAGATGCAGGACCCAGCCTCCACAAGGAATTCCTTGCAGGCCACAGGCCAGGAGATCTAGAGTGATTTTTGCCAAGCAAAACTCCGAGCAACCGAGAAAATACGACCCCAGACACCCAGCCTCTACTTCCGAGAGATTGGCTTCATTCCATGTCGATGGTAAGGTTCGGCTCGATGCAAATATCTGCTCCACATTGATCCACGACGGATCAGGATCATCTATGACCTGGGGTTGGGACTAATGGGTATCTACTCTGTCTAGATACAGATATAGGCAACTATACCCGTGCCATCTTCTAAATGCTGGTCCACCTTTTCGTGCTCGGCAGCGATGAATTGCGCATATGATCGTGGGTAGGCTCCGGTAGCAGCAAGGTCTTTGGCACCTGTCCTTGAATGCTGAGCAGTATGACTTTCGACTCTGTTTTTCGAATCAATGAGACCTATCTCTCAGGGAGTACTATATAGTGCGGCCTGGCTTCACTTTTGAAGGTCTTCCGGCTTGCTTGACCCGTTTGACAACTTGCAATTGGTTGCGCAGAACCACATTCCGCAGTGCCTAGCAGGGCTGATATTCTTGCAACATTGTAGCAGGTTTCGGGCAACCTACCCTAACAGCCTTGCGGAGCTGCTTCGACATCCTCGAACCACGATATTGCAGCAATGGCATCCACGGAGCCGTTCCCCATCCCAGGCAAGGCTTTGGTGTCCAAGAACCCCAACAGGCCATGTACCTTGGATCGCATTGATATCAAATGCCGTATAGATGCTGGTGTTATTATTCATAGTAATCCTCGAAAATCAAGCATTGCTGTAGCAGCAGAAGTAGCAGCAGCAGTAGGAGCTGCTGCAGAAAACAGCATTCACAATTAAATAGTGGTTTGGTACATAGTAATAATAATAGTTGTTATTGTGGTGGTGTACTAGTACTAGTAGCAGTAGTAGT